ATATTAATGTTGCTCAATCTCAAATTTTAAATCATTTTCATGTTAATAAGACGATAACTGGCGTCGACAACTTTAAATGAAGTAAAGTGAAAAAAAAAATCACAGTTCTAAAAATTTCAGGATCTTTTAAGATCAGTACAAGGTATTATACAAAAAAAAAATTGAGCCGAAATTTAATATAGATCGTCATTTTTGACGATTTTCAAAAATTCAAAATTTAACAAATTTGGCAATGTTCAATATATTTTTTTTCAATAGCCCCAAGTGTTCCCTTTCAAACAAACGAAAGGCCATTCCTGTATCTATAATAGCGTTCGAGATATAACAAAAACAAAATTGAAAAACTGGAAAAATCGAGAAATTTTGAATTTGCATATATCTTTTGCAAATAATTTTTTTATTTTTTTCCTTTGGCAGAAGTTCGTTGTATGATAAAAGAAAACTTCTGACCAAAATTTATCCAAATCGAAAGGGGTCGATTCCAACTATTGGTCGATTTGAGATGAATTGACCCAACTATATTTTACTATCAAGTCGCAACAACAGTAGTAATCCTGTTGCTACAACAGGATTTTTTCCTGTTGTTGCAACATGGCTGCCTCCTGTTGCTGCAACAGGATTTTTTCCTGTTGCTGCAACATGACTGCCTCTTGTTGCAGCAACAATAAATTTTTTTCCGTGTACAGAGAATAAATTTGTGGTGAATATTTCCTATTGTTGATATATATATTTTTTAAATTAAAATATACATAACATATTTGTTCATTGACCTTTAAAATTTTCTGTTAACATACAAGTACGTCAACAAAAAGTAGTATTATCTATTTTGATTGCTTGTTTAAACATTATCCGACTCGCATAAAGAAAAAGTTACAAATTAAACAATAACGAAGTGAAATTATGAATTGCATCACTAGTATTGCAGCTCGTTTTAATAAACATGAATTTATAGACTAAAATGTCAATTAATATGGTCATTATTCAAAGTTATTGTACTGAATATACATTTCATTAAAATGTTGATGAAATAATCCCAAAATCAATGAATACGTAATTAAAATTAAAATATTATTAACAATCTATACAATCGTCGTTGCATTCGGGTCAATAATACTCTAAAATTCACGAAGAAAAGTAAACTGTAAAATTCACTCGGATTCCGGTTAATTTTTATAGTTTCAGAGAGTAAAACGGACAGCGGGGTGGCAAAAATATTAATATTAGAGAACTTAATGTAGAAAGTGTCAAAGCCACAATTTATAATTTAATATCGAAAATAAGTGATTACTAGCTGTTACTATAGTAAATAACGACTCTCTCATCTTAAAAAGTTACAATTTCAAACAGTAAAAATTGCCGTTTCAATATATAGTCCATACTATGAGGAGGAGGGGGAACTCAGATGAGAAGAGGGTTTCACTCTGGGAGAATTTAAAATTTGAAACAGTAAAAATTCTACTCTTAAAATATATATTTTATCAGTCCAATCTAGTCAATAATTATAGTTTCATTTTAGCGTTATGTTTAAAAATTACCATTTTACTTTGTAAATATTAACGTTGCTTTTATTAGAAATTTAGTAACTATATTTTATACTTTTTACATATCATGCCATCATATTTTAGGTACGAAATGATAAATATCAAAGTCAAAATTCTTAATTATTATACTTTAACATTTTCGACATTTACATAGCGAATATTACTGTTTGAAATAGTATTTTCTTCCATGTAAAGAAGAAATTGTAGCATTAAAATGATAAATATTACATGGTGATTATTAAAATCACGATTTTACTGTTTAAAATGATAATTTTTAGCAGTTGATCATTACTTATTATAAATCGACTATTATTTATTACAGTTTACTTTTTTCCGTGTTGAATATTAAATCTCTTTATCTTTAATACTAAACAAATCTTAATTAAATTTTATTTTAATAGATGGAAACACTCAAATCCTCTAATTTTCTCTTTAATTATTTTTTGTGCTTTATTTAAACTTAAGAATCTACTTTATTTTACCTAAAAAAAAAAAAAAAAAAAAACTGAATGAAACACAAAAAAGCGACGTTGAAAGAAGTTAAGCCCTCGTTGGACGTTGGCAAAAGACGGGAACGATATCCGTGTGCCAGAGACACGACAGCGAGCTTACACGAGAGCTACTGCATTGGTGGACTGTGGGACCATCACCGGCGAAGCTTTAGATGCCTCTGCGGGTATGTGTCTGCTGGTGGAGCTTTCCCAAATGTTCAAAGGTCTCTCATTCATTCTCTTTCTTTGACATCCTCATACTTGCGCGTAGAAAGACAAAGAAGCCTTAGTCGACTCCTGGATCGATCCTGTCGTGTACATACCCTGAATTACCGTGACTGCTGCCACTTTTTTACATTCTACCCCGGGTAAAACTCTGTGCAGTGCAAGAACGAACTTGTTCTCGTTTCCGTAGTATTTTTATCCGCGAGGAAATATGTTATCGTGTTTCCTATTCCTCTGTTGTCTTTTGACTTACCTGATCGACTTGCTTACTCAGATTCTTCTTTTATTTTATCTTGTTTACGTATTTTAGTTTTTTTTCGCTACTGCATTGTTGTTATTTTTAAGTCTGACAGCATTGTTTATTCTAGAGCTGATGGCACTGAGTTGAAACGTAAATAAGGAACCGAAGAGAGTAGTACATGTTTCTTTTCATGGATGCTCGAGCTTTTGTTTCACAAAATGAACTACGTGAATCTTTTTTAAATTTTTTTCCATCAGTACTTTTAATGAACAAAAGATAAAATCGATAGTTTATCAATATAGTTTTGCTTTTGCTCAGGGTGATTATATTAACTTGACTTAAATTAAATATGAGTTTTTTTTAACTCAAATTTCTTACAAATTAAACCAATTTAAAATTTTTAATGTATTACAATACAGAACAACTTATAAAAAGAATCATCTTTATAAACGTAGATAAACATTTTTACAAACGAAAAAAATATACAGCTTTAACTTAAATGCTAAGATTTCTGCCTTATTAGTCGTTTATACTTACTGACGCTGTATTTTTTATCTCCATCTTATCCTTTATTTTATTAAGTTATACAACTTACCTTTTTTTATTCTTTTTTTGTGTCTTATCTTGTGCCTTCTGCCAAATCCTGTAATACAAGACTTCTTAAGAGTTTATAAGACCAGAAAATAGTCGTATCAAAAATTTACTTCGAGTTATTCTGTTGATATTCTCAAGCGCCGGTTAATCTGAATATTTAAAGTTCTTACTATTTGTTTATTAAAAAAAAAAAAACAATAACAAATAATTTGATTTATAAGCATTGTCAGGCTAAGTTTATAGTAATTCTGACGCTGCTCTCGATTACTTCAATTCGACACTAAACACATTGTTTAATTATTGAATATCGATTCGAATGAAACAAAATTAAAAACTATTGAATAAATCTTTTAATTATGGAAATTATCTTCCATTTAAAAAATTAACAAAAAAAAAAGTAGACACTTTGAAATAAAAATCACGAAGCAATTTTTAAAGATTAAACCAAGTAGTAACGCAAGTTATTAGTCAGCCTTAATAGCTTCTGAGCAGTAATAAAAATTATGGCCCTCTATTAATTATTTTCTATAAATCTTTTTGCTTTAATTAAATCTCGTATAAACTTAATTAATATAAGGACTTAAAAAAAATAAAAGACAATTATTAATGTATCTTTGTACAACATTTTTATTATCTTAGTTTTTATTTTGACACTGGTTATTTTACGAAAGATAATATCTAACCTCTTTATTGTTTATTATCATTTTACTTATTTAAATTATTATTTTCATTCATTTATTTTATAATTTTATTTAGTTTTATCTCTGATAATCAATCTCGTGAGTCTCTGAAATTACACAAGAAGCTTCTTTTCTCTATTTTCTATAATATACCCTTGGATTCTGCGTACCGTTTAAATTGGCCGAGTTTTGTTCGAGGCACTGCGAAAATTTCATTCCTCTTTTTTTTTTATTTTATTTTTTTTTTTTTACCCGAGTAATGAGTTTTTTCGTACCTCGATTTTGTACACTAGCAATTTTTTTATATTTATTTTCTTCTTCATCATCATCATCATTATTATTATTTTTTTTCCTCTCACCTTGAATCTCACGCTTCACGTCGGCTAATTTGCCTGTCGCGTACTAAAGCGACATTGTCGGATTTTACCGTCTTTCACACTTCTATTCTTTGTTATTATCATTATTATTATTATTATTATTATTGTTATTTCTATTATCATTATTATTATTATTAGTATTATTATTTTTATTATTATCGTTACTTGTATCACGTTCTACTTATCTTTTTATCTGGATTTGTTTTAGTTTATTTCTTCATATTAATTTTATAATGTATCGCTTCAAGCATGACAAATTAATTTTCGTCACAAGAAACATTTAATCTCATCTTTTTTTTTTGTTTTGGTTTGTTTAATTACTTTTGCTTATTGTCACTATTGTTCTTTAATTGGATACAAATTATCCAGAATGTCGGTACGCAAATACTCGCAATTATTTAATCGTCCTCATTATCATTAGCCTACATTTCATCACTTGTTCACGTGATTATCGTACGATAATTCTAAAGGTACAAACACTATTCTAAAACTCGTTATTCTATTTATCGTTTAACATCAAAAAACAGCCAATTACAACCGCTAAAAATATAAATAAAAATAAAAAATTCACAAGACACACTATCTTATCTGAAGTCTTTCATATAAAATTAATGCGCAAACTTTCCTCTTCATTTCTCTCGACATAAACTTCCGTACAGTTTTGTTGTCCTTGTACTTGTTATTCTTGTAGTTGTCGTCGGCGTCGTGGACCTTGGTCCTGTTCTTTAGACTCTGCATCTAATTCAAAGTTTCACGGTCCAAGTAATAGTGTAAAGCACTGGTCTTACGGTACCTTGTCCTCGTCCGAGTAGTGAGTGAGCGAATAAGATAAAAGAGGATGTTGTCATTATTCACCAGAGTTCCATGGTGGGCGTAAGAGTATGTACTTCAATGTTTTCGTGTCTGTGATACCTGTCTCTGCGTCGTATGGTCGCTCGTCTTGAGAGGACAACTGTCAGTATGCCAGCCGCTCCAATGACTGCACCAATCAACACCAGCATTCCAGGATGTGTTACCAATTTAGTTTTCGGTTTTTCATCAGGATCCACCGTTCGACTATTCAGCTCTTCAGCAATAGTGTTTGCAATATCGTGAGAAAATCCGTAGTTTTGAGCATCCTTCACCGAGTTTTTACCCAGTGTATTTGTTATCGTTTGTTCGGTACTAAAAATTCCACCAATCACATCTTTATTTATACTTTTATCGTAACTCTTTGGATTTGAAATTTTTTCATCCTCTCGTTCCACAGAATTCACTCGATTGTCCAGAATTTCTTTGGGTTTTTCACGTTCATTATCAATAAATTCTTGTTCACTTGCTTTTCGATTACTCGCTCGATTAACTTTTTTTGCTTTGTCCTCTAGACGAAATTTTTCATTAACAATAATCGACTGAATTTTTTTCTTTGGTTTTGAAATTTGCTTACTATTATTTGTAATAATATTTTTGCTATCATTACCTTTAAATTTATCATTACTATTTTTATTAATATAATTATTATTAGTATTAGTATCATTAATATTATTATTATTATTATAAATATTAGTTGTAGTAGTAGTATTCTTATTACTATTGTTACCGTGATTAATATTATTAATATAACTAGAGTGGGTTTTATTGTAATCATTAATATTAATACCACTAATGGATTTATTATTATTAATATAAAGTCCAGTGGTTGGAGAATAAGTTGTATAAATTTCATTGAACTTAGTGTCGTTTAATTTAACCGTCAACGTATTAGCATCCTCGTAAAGTTTGGTAGACGGAATTTCATCAAGTACGGTGGTATTTTCCATAGCCGATTCGGTATGACTGATATTACTCTCGATGGAAGACGCATTTGTTGGCACTGTTAGCAGTGGTAATAGTTCCGGGTATTTCTCAATTCTGAAGCTTCGATATGAGGTATCACTGGTCGTGTCCGGAGTTGTGGTTATGGGCAATGCTATTGTAGTAGTAGTAGGTGGAGGTGGCAATTCAGCAAGGAGTAAATTTGCAAAATTACCGTCTGAATAGTTACTACATCTTGCGAGGATTGTTATCTCTCGATGTTGTCGTATCCACTCGCCGAGCCAGAGCAAGTCCGCCGTACAATTCCAATCGTTGTCTGCTAATCCGAGAACATTTAATTGTGGAAGTAGATAAATAAGATCTGATCTGAGTGTGGTGATGTTTGTGTTGATGAGATTCAGGAGCATTAAACTTTTGCATGCAGACAATGCAGCATTGTCTGTTAAAAGCTGAGCCGCGAGAGCCGGGCTGTGGGACACGTCGAGGGTAACAAGCATCTCGGGTGTAGGAACCGGAAATGCCATGTCACCGCGCTCCTCATGCTCCCACTCAAGAAAAGTCAAACCTGACATGCGTAGCTCGCTCAAACGTGCTGGACCAGCAAGTGTGTTCGCCGGAAGTTGTCTGATGGGATTGTTAGATATGTCAAGTTTGGTGAGAAATAACAGCTGGCTGAGTGCACCCTCATCTATTGTCACAATCTCGTTGTCATTTATAAAAAGACACTGTAGATTGTCAATACCCTGGAGGTCCTCGCTGGTCAATGTTTTGATAGCATTACCACGTAGATTTAGTACCGTCAAACTTGTTGGCAAACTTCGTGGTACTATTTCCAATTTATTTCCCGATAAATCCAACCTCTCCAGCGTCTCTAAACGTCCCAATGAGTCTTCTTCAATGTCGTACAATAAATTGTCGGACAAATCCAACATTTTAAGCAATGGATATCCATCAAAATCACCGTCCCGTATACACGTAAGTTTATTACCGGCTAAACGTAATGCTCTTACTGATCTGGTTAGTGCTGCTGGTACACGTACTAACCCAGTGCGTGATGCATCAACAGTCTCTAAACGTCCAGTCCCAAGCAGCAGTGAGACATCACGTTCCATTAATGGATTTTCTGCCAATCTCAGAACCGACAAACCCGGGAGCGGTTCAAGGACCCCGGATGCTGCTTTCGTAAGACCATTTCGCGATACATCAAGCTCACGAAGCCGTCCAAGCGTTTCGAACCATCTACCGCCCAAAATCTTTAATTGATTACCACTCAAATTTAGTGTTTGAAGAGAAGAAGCTAAATGCGTTAGCGTGTCGTCTGGCAGTAATACCAATCTGTTGTCCGATATATCGAGATACTCAAGTGCTGTGAGACCGACAAAAGCACGTTCATCCACTCTCTCTATTTCATTGTCCCGTAAACTTAAACGCACTAGACCAGTAAGCGTCCTAAAAGCTTCACTCGGCAATTCACTCAATCGATTACTCGATAAGTCTAGCACTCTCAACTCACTTTTATTCCCAATAATCACATCACTCAGATCGACAATATTATTGCCGGAAATATTTAATGTCGTCAGTCTCGTATTCAATTCCCATGTTATGTTTACAGGAAATGAACTATTCGTAATGGTTACTTCGTATAAACACGTTAACGATGAATTCTCTAATTCATCAAGCAAACTAGTTACTTGGTACTCGTCCGCACCAGAAATCACTAGTTTCTGTATATCACGTGGTAACGTTTCAATTAACGGGACACCTTCATAACATTCGACCTCTATTATCGCGCCAGCAGCAGTTGTTGAACCAATACCACCACTAGAAGTGTTTTTCATCACACCCTGACACTCACAGCTAGGCAGACTTAGTACCATTAGCCTGTTCAAACACTCGATCTGATCGAATACCCCGGAGGTGTTTCGCCATTCAGTCGATGTTGTTGTTGTTGATATTGACGGTGTTGTTGATGTTGCTGTTGTAGCAGTATTATTGATAAAAAGAGGACACTCGCCGGGTCCAGCACAAGCTGAGATGCTCGCCGTGAAGGCAAACACAAGTGTTAATAGCCACATAGTTATGGACACCAGCATGCCCTTGTTATTCTTCACGTACCACTGTTACCGCGTGTATGAAGTCTTCTGGTATCAACCTTGATCCATAGTACCCTCGCGCTCGACATTGTCATCGGCGAACACCACGGGCTCACAAACATACACACCCCCGCTCGTACGGGATATACAAAGTGTTGCGAACCGGTTAACACTCGTACGTGATAAAAGTCCGACTAAACTAGTAGATTAACTTTGGTAGTTACTGCGGCGAAGGAGTCGCTCTCCCAACTGACTGAACTAGACTGTGTGCTGCCAGCTACACCCCTACTATCACGGTGGGGTGTCTTCTTCCCCTATCCTTTAGCCTCCCTCACCGCCACCGCCAATACTGCCGTTCGCATCAGCTTCAGTACCAGCAGCAACGGCCACCAGCCGTCGCTTTTACTCTCGAACTCGATAAGGGGGTGTGCGCAAGCGTATACACCTATATCATAATATCATACAAAAACTAAACTGAGTTACAGCTTGTTTTTAGCTTTGTCCTTGCGTATATATTTTATATATAGAGTTTATATTAACTTGGAGCTTTTATATTTTGTGTATCTTATATTTCTCTTAGCTGTTATTAATGCCCATTCGTTTTTGCTCTACCGAGTAATATTCCACCGAGCAATAGCTTAATGTAAACCAACTGCCGGTGGATAAATCCCAGTAGAAAACCCAAGAAGAGAAAATGCCGATTTTACACAAAACTGCTACCACCAGAATTTTCTCAAAGTCGTTTTTCATCTGATAGTAATTGCCTGGGTAGAAAATCTGGACACGGTGTGTTGTAAAATGTATGACTGGGAATTGTAGCCGTGGCATGATTTCTCTCTCACGCTCTCTGAATCTTTTACTTCAATTATAGTGTACTATTGCTACTAGTTAGGGTATATAGGTCTGAGTAGAAGAAGTAAAGTACGAGTGTTCGTGTGTGTAAGTAAGAAACTAAGTTGAGAGGGAGATGAGAATTCATTTTGGTGGTTGTGCAATCAACCAAGTTAATTGGCAAGAATTATTAAGACTCCCCTAGATACTAGTGATGGCTGCGGTGGTGCTAGCAGCCTAGGTACTTGAAATTAAAGAAAATGAAGCCATTACTCAAGTGAAACGTTCATATAGGTTATTCCGTAAAATAATCTTGGGTAGTCTTTGAAGAAATTCTTATAGTGAACCGGATAACGATACTTGTATTCTCATTCTACTTGCTTGACTGCTCGCTACTGAAAGCGGAAATGCTCGGAAAATTGCAAGACAATAGAACTTACTACGAACACACAGTATATCTTCAATTTCCATTGTGTTTCCCGGTATTTTGTTTGCTCGCCTTATTGCAACGCTATCGGAAACTATCCTACCGCCTGATCCTGAAATATCGTATTTATAGCTCTTAAATTCTATTTATTTTTTTCGTTCACTTCCGTTTAAACGAATCCGTATGCAAACTTATCATTGAGTTTCTTATTTTCACAACCTCTTTAACAATCACTTGGATAGAAACCCATAAAACTTTACATTCGAACTTTGGTAATTATGGATTGCAGTTTTAACAATAAATTTAATTTTATGTTTTTAAAACAACAAGTTGCATTAGTATAAAAATTACCATAACATTTATTGCTAGCGATAGTATCAGAAAATATTCAAATTTAAAAAATAAATAATCTCTATTATTATTAAACATTTGACTGTGTCATCGGTATCGTTACGTCGTAGTCATTACAGTTGTCGTCGAGGTTCGCCAATACATGCCCGTTGCAACAACGCACGAAATAATTTGCATAATATTCAAATAGATGTAACAGTAGTATGAAATGCATCTCACGATTTGCGTGGACACAAACGTGTCTGAATACATATAGGGTACGGGGATGAACAAAAGGTCGTCTTTTCTTGTATTGGTTGTATCGTCCGAGAATTTCGAGGGACTCGATCGTAAAAGGAAACTATTCGTCGAACGTTTAGCCAAAACATTTCACCCTTATGCTTGTTTTCTTACCTGTCTCTCTTTTTCTACATAGATATACACGTATGTATAAGTGTACATAAATATGTAATACATAAATTTACATTGATATAAAACCAAAACACAGAAAGAAAAACACTATAAACATTTTCCGTCGATTTCATTTTACAAGTATATCACAACACTATTTGGTAGGATATTCTTTGCTGTTGGCAAACCCAAGTGAATGGCCAGAAAAATACCATTTATCGTGATGTCCGCGACGTTTTTACAGTCACTATTTTTTTGCTTTCGGTCATTGCAAAGCGTTATATTGCCAGGGCAAGAGGAGACTTCCGTCCGTTGTCTATGTACAAATTTTCTCGTTTTATTTTATTTTATTTTTATAGTCTTTTTTTTTTTTTTTTTTTTTTTTTTTTTTTTTTTTATTTCATCCTTTTCTGTTTTTTGTTATTTTTATATCGCACTTGCTCGTGTCCCAGGGCTCACGACTCGTTTGTTCGAGAAGCAATTCACTAGTCCCTTGTCTTTACGAGAAATTTAAATTTAGTTTCGTTTAGTACCGTGTCCGGGAACGATCGCAATGGCCTAGAGGGTAAAGTAGCGGTGGCTTTTGTAGTAGTAGTAGTAGTAGTAGTAGTAGTAGTAGTAGTAGTGGAAGAAGAAGTATTAGTGCGACAAAAAAGAGAGGAGAGAAATAAAGGAGAGATGCAAAGTGGGTTAAAAAGGTGGATCACTAAGCCGACAAGAGAAATAGAAAAGAATGACTTTGCTTGGATGGGAAAATGAGAATATAGAGAAATTACTTACTGTCAAGTGTAAAAGGTCGGAGTTTATTTTATTTTATTTTATTTTATTTTATTTTATTAGATTTTTTTTTGTTTAACCACGTCGAGCACTTGGGATTCCGCTGGAGGAATTTATTCTTTATATCTTGAATAGGATAGCGGCATAATTTCTCATAATTTTTTATCAAGATAGAGAGCGGAAAAAAATAGCAAGCGTAAAATAAGTAGCATTTTTGCTAACGAAAGAGATGAGGTTTTGTATCTCAGCAGCTGTAGATCCTCTTCTACTTCAAAGTTATTTATAAACTAAATTCTTTTATCCCTTACAAATTGAGTCTATTTTACTATGCTAGTTCCTATATTGTAGGGGTAAATATGGCTAGAAGTACGTATAACAATAATAAAAGTAATAATAACTTACCGGGGGATAATAGAAGTGCTTTTCATTGGTCTTACAGTGAATAGAGACAATTTTTGTGGATTTTCTAGAACCCCTAAGTACCAATTCGCTTTTCCCCCATACAAAAATCCAATCTCCCGTTGTTCACCGCGGGGAGCTTTCTCAATTAGCGCTCAGAAAGAGAAACGGATAAAGAAAGTCCTTGGCTCTTGGAGCCAATCGTAAGCCATTAGACGTAGAAATGACATCGCTGATCTCAATTCAACAAAATCACAGACTTAAATTCTTCAAGACATTTATTTGATTTGATCTCTCTTTCTTTCCATCCACCGATTTCCGTATCCAAGTTATAATTCGAGGACATCTTTAACAATAAAATTCTTATTGAGATATTAAATTTTTATATTTAAGCAATTTATTCAATTAAATAACTTTTTTCATTTTACAATAAAAAAAAAGTAATTTATGATAATAGCTTTCGTCCTTTTTACCAGATTAATTTATAAAATTCTGCTCTAGAAATATCACGGTGATCTAGTAGAGAGAATTTAAGAATTTTCATTGAATTTAAAATTACCAAGTAATGTAGGTAGATTCTGGTATTGCGGCAGAGACACCGACTGTACGCCAGGTTACTAGGCCAAAAACTCCAAGAAGTAATAGCTTTTACTTTACCCAGTATAGCTCAGTAATAATAGGGAGATGTTATAAATATTACTACGACTTAGGTCTGCGTCCATACATTACGTGAAATGAAAGAGCTTCAACAGAAACAGAGAAAAGGAGAAAATGAAAGTTACAAATGAAAACTCTGAGGGAGAAACGATTTTACTAGCTAAAGGGTAACTACTGTGCCGAAGCTAGAGAATTTGTAATTGCCGAGGCTTTAAAGTGTCGCCGCTGATGGTCAATGGCAGTTGAGACTGGGTTAATGGCTTGTACTGAATGTCCTTTCTTGTGGAAACCACCTTCACCTCCACCACTATCATCTTCTCCTTTTTCACTACCACTATTATCTTCAAATGAAGCAGGGTGAGAATAAGAACAGAGAAGAGGGTGCCTTTAAACGTCCTCAAATAACGAATACGAATTAGAACTAAAGAACCAGAAAAGGGTAACTTTATCTTTGGCACTTGGAGCAACTTCCTTTAAGCTATTTACACTTGGAATTCATTACCTTTCTACTCAACCTTTCTATTAAATTTTTTTCCTTTCTTGTAAAAATAGAGTGTACTCTTCCTGTAAGCTAATATTTAGCCAAAAAGTAAATTATAAAATAAACTATTTACCTTTTTTGAGCGCTCATTTTTTCTCACAGCGAGCTACCATGAATTTTTTATTTTCTCTTGTTATACATCGCGAAAAATAGGTTTTCTCGGGTGTCACGGGTACGATATATATAAATACATAAATCAGGATAAAAGGGAAGAGAAATAGAAAGATAATAAACTTATTAAAGTGTAAATCGAAAAAAAAAAAAAGATAAATGAACAAATACGTTCGCAAAAATCCCTCTAATCTTTTATTCATTAATGCCCTTATGTTTTTATTTATATTTTTTTCTTGCATGACTACACAAATATAAATATACATGGATATTTATATCTTCAGTAATGCTGACGTGTTCGGGAAGGGTCCCATTCGTTTGCGCCAATTAAGTAATCAACTCGCGAGAGCGAGAGTCAAGTGCAGCAAGCGACAGGTGTGACACACTCGCGTGTTAAGTTCCGAGCTTGCTAATATTTAAATTGCTCTAACAATACACAGACGTCAGCTGTTATCAAAGGTGTGTACACAGCCAATGGAAATTTAAAAACACATGCAT